CTTCTGCCTCTAGCAAAGTATTAACATCGAGCAGCTAAACTCATTGGGGAAGGTCACTCTGCTTGTCTCAAGGACTTGTCAATGGACTGTAAGTTGTAAGGAAGTTTTATTTGTTCTATATTTCTTTTGCCTTTGTTCTCTGCATCATGAGTTGGGGAAATCAGTATGAACTAATTTGTTTTACTATATGTAGACATAGAAATAGAGGTACCAGTGTATACACGGATTCATGTGCACAGATTTCCTGGCTTTGTCCACCCAGGGTGGACACCCTAGTAGCAGTGGCAATAAGCACATTTGGTGCCCTGATTTTGGTCTCTAAATAACATTATCAGTAAAAGGAACCGTGGTTCCTTGGAAAATGACTGGCTATAAGGCTGGGCAAGAAAAATATAAGATGAGGCTGGAGCATCTTGATGTTCCAGAAAGGAAGTGTTAGACATAAAACAAAACAAAGGATGGGAATGTATCAAAAGGATACAGGAGCCGTCTTTGAAGAGCTCTCAGAGGCCAAAGCTGGCACAATTTGAGCAAGAGTAAAAATGATAGCATTGCATTATAGCCAAAGGATAATATGTATATCTATGAGTCCATACTGATAAAAATGATTGACATGAATTTTCCTTACAGTAGAATATTTTTTAAAGATATTACTTATGTATTCATGAGAGAAGAGAGAGAGAGGCAGACACACAGGCAGAGGGAGAAATAGGCTCCCTGCAGGGAGCCCGATGTAGGACTCGATCCTGGGACTCCAAGATCACACCCTGGACTGAAGGCGGCGCTAAACCGCTGAGCCACCCAGGCTGCCCTCCTTAGGGTAGAATTTAAAGTAATAAATGTAGAAGTAAAAAAATAAATAAATAAATAAATAAAATAAAATAAAATAAAATGTAGAAGTAAGAAATCACCATTTAAAAACCACGGTAATAACTGCAACAAGCAGTATCTACTGTTGAATGCTATAATTTTTAGGAGTTAAACCTTAATGAGAAACAGGACATTTGCATAATATTTCATTTTTGCTGTTTTCCATTCATCATACCAAAACTTCTAAAATGGTATCAATTTGTGAACCAAACACTTAAAAACAATGCTTTTTGGAGAGCCATCTTCATCCTATTTGTAGGTTAAGATGTTCAAATCATTTACCACTGTTAACAATGATCCCAAGGACGACTCTTAATTCTAACAGGATTGATTACGATGGCCCTTGATTTGCTGCATCTTTTCAAGGAGTCTTGTTAAAGGTTGATAAATAATTCAGTGAACGGCTAAAACATCCGATGAGCCTTTTGAGCTGGCTAATAAATAAACTCTTTTCCCAACCAATGTATTGTGTTCTCTCAAATAATGACAAAGATATATATTCTGTAAGTTTCAAACATAAAAAAGGTCTTTGTGACCATCATTGGTAAAACTGCAACTATTTCCTAGGACTTTCCATCCCTTGCAAACTTTACATATAGAAGCAGAAAAGCATCTTATCCCTTAACCCAACATTGTGGGGATTGACATATTTCAAAAGCACAGAGGCTGTTTGATAAGACTTCATCCTCCCAACAGACGTTCTCTAACATTCCGACTGCACTCTCATTTCACTTTCCTCATCACTTTGTTGGTACTTGACATTGTGGAATTATGGGCTCAATAAATATATTTGCCTGTATGTATGAGGTTTCTGATGTACCTGCACATTTGAAGGGAAGCAAGGCAAGCCAGAACAGAACTCCAAAATCTTACAATCAATTTTATTCAAAAGTTTTCAAATTTACTCAATGCAAAAGTGCAAACCTGCCAGATATTCGTATTGGCTATAGGCGAACTCTGTCTTACATGGAGCTGAGCAATGCCCATGGTCAACCTTGAGGACCTGACCTGCATTCTTCATCTTTCCCCCAACTCTCTTCATTGTGATTCAACAAATACATTGGTCTCTGTGAAGCTTCCATGCTAGCAGGGAACAGACAACAGGCACACAACAAATAATCAAGTTTGTCTTAAACCTCTTTAGCAGTGACCATGAGCACTGAATCCAAGGGCCTGTGGCTATCAACCTTTTCATAACATGAAATTAGTAAGATGCATTTTTATGGCCAAAAAAATTAGTAAGCAGTACTGGCCCTACCCTGTACTGTTTATTTCCATTTTACAAAAGAAAATTGAGGTTCTCGTGACTCTAGATTCCTTTTCCTAACATTTTCCCTCAAGGGCTTTGTATCTCTGCCAGGCTAATATATGGCGCCCTGCCTCCCTCATCTACCTATGATCCACGTACATCAGTACTGAAAGCTGCAGGCCTACTTTAATGGCTTCTCTAGTTTCAATGCCAAGACTTTAGCCACATTTTGTTTAACAGACACAGGAAGGCAACGGGCCTAGGACTTCTGCTCAGGAGGTGTTATTATGCTCTGTACCCCTGGACGGGTCTGTTTCTTCAGGCCTTTGACAACATTACGATGGACAATGATCCCATCTCAAAGCATGTACCCAGAATTACTGGGGGGCTCTTTTGCAAAACTTCAAAGAACTGGTTTTTCCATATGAATAAGTTGTCAATTTGCTAAAATGCTCATTGGTTTGTTTATACTTGACTTCCATTTTTTTTAAAGATTTATCTATTTATTTACTCATGATAGAGAGAAACAGAGAGAGAGAGAGGCAGAGACACAGGCAGAGAGAGAAGCAGGCTCCATGCCGGGAGACTGACGCGGGACTCGATCCCAGGACTCCAGGATCGTTCCCTGGGTCAAAGGCAGGCACTAAACGGCTGGGTCACCCAGGTGTCCCTATACTTAATCCCTTTCATTAGCTTCTGGTTTCCCCTTCCTGAATGGTCTATTTCCAAAGCAAAAAACTACCCACCCATAGGCATATACCCTTTATTTCCTCTGCCTTATGAAAGACAGCACACCAGACACCCTGCTCTGCATCTCGCTCTTGTTTTTTGTAATGATAGAATCTTTAGCAAGCTGTCTACCCTCTGGGTTTATTCACCTGCCAAATGGGAAGGATTCAACAGAAGAATATAGGGACCTCACCATTGGACTGGGCAGGAGACATGCTCAATAAATGCTATCTTGTCCCTACAATCCTACTTCTGCTGCTGCCCACGTGGGATCGGATGGCTACACCTCATACCAGATGAACTTGCCCGTTAGGAGAATAAATGCACATGGGTTATCAGGAGAGCACCCTGAACCCTCCCAGCTTAAATGGTGTATGGCTTTCTCCTGAAGGGAAATAGAGTCTTCAGTTACAAAACATACAAGATCTTAGGTTCACGCGGTTGGGAGCCTGTGGATGAACAGATTAATAGGAAAGTTTATTCTGTATGTATATACAAAGATAGTAGGGAGTAGGCTGCAAAGGGCAGCTGATGGAAGAGCCCGGAATAAGGTTTTATCTGCCAGCTTAATGGGGTTGGGGGCAGTATGAAGACTTCAGTGGGAAAGTACGGAAGGTGCAGATAGGAGTATTCATACAGTTCTTTGGGATGTCCCGGTACCAACTCAGCTCCTCCCTTGCAAAAGGCTCCCTCAGAGAGGGAGTCTGACAGCTGAATTCTCAGAAAAGTCTGCTTTACTCATCAAAGAGAGGTTGAAAGTTGGCCTCCTTCCGCAGCTGCTGTTTATTCAGATGTTCAGTGTAAGTAAAGTAGTCTTTACGACCTCCCAGGGAAAAGGATTCGGTGGCAGTGAATCCTTGTTCTGTTACTTTGGAAATGTTTAGAGTTGTTGCTTCTAAATGGGAAGTTTCCAAACCTGGAAAAAGGGTCCTTAATGGATTGGTGTTGTGAAAAATGGGTAGACTGTCTACGATGTCTGGTTGGGTGCGTCTATGTGTTGCTACTTTATGTATCGAAGAGTGTGCATTTGTGATTGGACTAGCATTGGAAATGGGAGTCCTGGGGGAGGGCAGGTGCCAGGTGGCCAAGTCCACATGGCCCTGGCCATTTAGGGGGGAGCTCCTTAAATACTATATTACCACATAAGATAAAAAGACCAGAGTCGTTCATGGACAAAGGTCAGAGTGGAACATGTGACCCACCAGGCTGGCATCTGATGTCCATCATGATCTGTCATTAGTCATGTTGGCATCTACACGTCTCCATTTACCACGTGCCTGTCAGCCTGAAAGAACAAAGCAGGTTGTGAAATATCTGGTATAGAACACCTTTGGTTTGATTTTGGCAGCTACAGAGATAGGTGTTATTATCTAACGAGGTCATTCCAGAATTTTGGTCCACTCCTATGTAGTCTTGGGTATGGGGCACACCAAGCAGGGGGCAGGCTGAGCTATTCCAGGTCCCACTTGTGTGGCCTGAAGACCAGGAATATTGGCCAGTGACTAGGCAAACATTTACATCGTAAGAGTCAGTCTTGGACTCGTTTACAACATGTATGGAAGGTCTGAAGGTACCATCTGTGAAATCAAACCGTAGTGTTTGATTACGGTGTTGTTTTGATAGGTTACCTAGGAGGGGGTCTGGTGCCCTTTTTATTTTCGATCCAAGAGTAAAATCTCCCTCCCAAAGCTCCACTTAAGTAAATAATAGACCTTGAGCCTCTGTAGAAGATTCCCAATGCCAAATTATTCGACAATAGGAGGAAGTAGTGATTCTGTCCTTTTGTTTGTGGATACCGTTCCCTTTTATACACCCACAGTCCAGAATGTGTCCACCAGGCACTGGCACAGGCAAGAACAGAAACTAGTTCGGGTCCCTGTGCATGATCTAAGCAATGATATAACCAGCAATCAGATAAATCAGCTAAGGAGCCAGGATTTGGAAGAGTGGTGGGAGTGGGTAATGGGGTTGTGCTAGAACTGCTGAAAAAAGCAACAAGCATGAGTTGAAGCAAGACATAGTTTGAAAGGGAGCCCACAGTGGAGGGACAGAGGAAACATAGGTTAAGACAAGCAACCTCCAGCCAATCTTTCTGTAAATAAAAGAGGATTTTTAATTAATTAAATAATTCATTTATTTTTTAAATCTCTAGGTCAGAGAATTTTCCAGGTCAGGGAGAAAGGTTTCACGGGAAGATAAATGAAGACAATATTCTTGATTCAAGATCTTGGACAAAGCTGCCTACTTCATGGTGTCATCTGCTTCTGGAGCCTGGGTAGGCTCTGGAAATCCTCAACTTGATGTCACTCATACGGACGGCCTTCTAATTGTTATAGGGGTGATGATCTCTGGACCTAGCTTGGTGGGTCTCCTGGAAGATTCTGGAAGATTTTTATTTTGATCAAAGTGTAGACGGTTAACAGTATTTCCTAAAGCCTCTAAAGCCTTCCCAGCGAGATGATGACGCACGGTTTCTTCTACAAACTTCGATGTGTACTCCATCTCCTGGTAGAAAGGTATGGCAAGGCTTGTTAGTCAGTGAAGACCGTATTTCTATCACCTGTTGATGTCATGCTGCAATAGTTCCTACATAGAACTAGTCAACATATTGAATTGTTCACTCAATGCTCCATAATGCTCACCCGGCCTAGGAATGGAAGGTTTAGAGAGGTCAGCAGGCATGAGGGGACCAAAAACTATTTCAAAATGGGTCAATTTCAAGTATTCTGGATCTGTTGTTTGAACCCCATGAAGTCTGGCTTCAGATGCTTTATGACCTTTCCAGCCAAGGCCTTCAGATGTTCTCAAATTTAGTCTTTATGTCACTCTAGCGGGTTGGTCCTGCCTTCAGTGACAAATACCTACACTTTGGGATCCCTGGGTGGTGCAGCGGTTTGGCGCCTGCCTTTGGCCCAGGGCGCGATCCTGGAGACCCGGGATCGAATCCCACATTGGGCTCCCGGTACATGGAGCCTGCTTCTCCCTCTGCCTATGTCTCTGCCTCTCTCTCTTTCTCTCTCTGTGACTATTTAAAAAAAAAAAACTTAAAAAAAAATACCGACACTTTATTTAATTCATGAAAGACACAGAGAGTGGCTGAGACACAAGGCAGAGGGAGGAACAGGCTCCCTGCTGGACTCGAATCCAGGACCCCAGGGGGTCACAATCTGGGCCGAAGGCAGGTACATGCTCAACCACGGAGCCACCCAGGTGCCCCCGAATACGGACAGTGTAACTGAATGCAGGTACCACCAACGCTATGATTAAGTTTGATTTCATCACTTTGTGCTCTGAACAGTGTCACAAAATCACAAAGATGCTGGAATGGAAAGGACATTTTCCTCTGGTTCGGCTGTGACTTGGACCCCGAGGTGGGTTCCAGCTGGATTTTTATGGGCTGGTAGGGGATTTCTAGTAAGATTGGGGGAGTTTCTCAAGCTCTTAGTCCCTAATCCCGATATGGAACTTCCCGTTAAGGGCGTGCTCTGCGGGTATTCTTGGAACTGACTTGGGCTGGAGACCGCAGTCGTTACTTTTCTAGGGGCATTTCCTGAATTTCTTGGGTCCCACAGAAGCATGTGTGTACCTTAGGCCGTAGAGTTGCTGTAGGTCAGTAAAAATAACCAGCATCAGAATATTCCAGCTTCCACGGCTGCTACCTGTAGCTTTCAACCTGGAAAAAAGGAAAAATTTCCAAATGACCTTTCCAACAGAAAACAATTTTGAGGTACCTTATTTTCAGTTTGTCCCCAAAGATATGTGTCCAGGAAGAAGCCTTGTGTTCCTGTGTTCCATCCCCCCTCCCCTGGTTTTTCCCCACCCTTCAAAGACCAGCAACTCTGAAAGGATCATCTAAGAAGGGGGAAGTTTGCATTCCTCACTGTGCTACCAACTAGAATCCCATCACAGAAGGGGGCACCTGGGTGCTCCAGCGGTTGGCTGGATCCCAGGGCCCGGGGTGAGCCCTGGCTGCCCAGTTAGGCCAGATGGGGCCTACCCGGGACCAGGGTCCTCTTCCCGCCCCTGCCTGCGCTCTAGCGCCAGCACATGCTCACTCTCGCAGTACAGAACACCTTACTGTGGAGTTTCCCCGCCAGTGATGCCAAGGAAAGAGATGAGGCAAATGGATCCCAGATGAGCTTTATTGCAAGCACCCTAGGGCGAGGTTCCATGACTCACAGGGGTGGGGGGGTTGTGAGTCAGGTAAGTCACACTGGGAAGGAATTGGTGATATTCTTTTATTGGGTCGGGGTAGGGCCCTGGCTTGTACCCAAAAAAGGCGAGGTATGTGGTGGTTAGTGAGCATGGGGCGGGGGAAGTGTGTCAGATCATCGCCAAGGCATGGGTTCGGTTCATATCTGTAAGGTACGTAGTGCTCAGGACACACGGGGCGAGGAGTAGGTGATTGGCACTTCCCAAATGGGAAGTTCCTGGGTGGAGAGTGTCGGTCTCCCGATGGTGACGAGAAGGCCCGTTGTGAGGGTGGCGGGAAAGTCTGTCATCTTAGAGAGGGTTGGTGGAAGGTCCACCATTTCGGTGCCCCGACTTCCCTGCCGGCCCATCATTCCAACCTTTTATATACTGGTGTCAGGGGACGTTGACTTTGCTCTGGCTACTTCCTGCAGGCAGTGGGGCGCCATCGTAGAGGCCATCGGAAGTGGGCAGGCGAGAATAGGGCTGTAGGAGGAGTTGGTTAACTGATATTCTGGTTGTTTCTCGCAGGCGCTCTTGTGCATAACGCATAAGGCAGGGACCGATTAAGATTAACAGGAGGAGTCTACAGAGGGGCCCTGCCAAGGGGAGAGGCCAGGTCACCCAGGCTTGAGGGTTTAAGCCCCAAAGAGAGTCATCTTGACGCCTTGCTCGGATCCGATCTCTGAGCTCCTTGACTCTGGAGGTGACTATGCCCGACTGGTTGACAAAATAGCAGCACTCCTTGTTCAGGTAGAGGCATGTTCCCCCTTTTTCAGCGGTGAGGATGTCCAGGGCCCATCGGTTCTGCAGGGTGACGGCAGCTAAGCTGGTGACTTGAGTCTGTAGGGCCGTGAGGGAGTCGGCTATACGTTCCATGTCTTTGTTGAGTGCCTGGGAGAGCTTGTAATAGAAGTTAGTGGAGGTTCCCAGTCCCGCCGCCCCAGTTGCCACCCCAGTTGTTAGTCCTGCCCCTACTAAGAAGGGGAGAAAAACAGCCCTTTTTCTCCGAGGGGTAGGGGTAGGGAATACTTGAGAGGAGAGCTGTTCAGAGGAATAGATGCTTGTGGTGGGAGACAGAAGGATGAGAGTGCAGTTTAAAGAGTCATTGGCGGTTAAGCAACAAGAGTCCTGTCGGGCAGGAGAGAAAGATTCCTGAGGGGGTGCAGTAGGGGAGAGTGGAGATGTTGTTGGTGGTATGAGGGGTGGAGGAGATGAGGTTCAGGATCGATATGGGAGCACCGATAGGTCCAATGTGGACCGTTTTATTGGAGAAATTGGGTATAGGCCAGGATTAGGAATCGGGATCCCGATGATGTTAGTGAGGGAAGAAAAAGGAAAGCAGATCCAGCAATCTTGTCCTCCAGAAACATTTTTCCAGAGGTTGTAACTGGAATTTAGGAGGGTTAGGGTGAGCGGTTTGGTGGAGGGTGCTCCCCGTGAGGAGTCGAGATGGATCCCTTTATATCCGGGTTGTGCTTGTACAGGTGTTGTACTCTCCTGAGGGAGTGGTTGCGGGAGGCCTGGTCCTGGACCCCTCCCCCATCAGAGAGTCCTATTTGGGCCAAATAGGTCCAGCAGACCTTTCCAGATTTAGGGTACTTAGTGCAGGGGGATTGAAAGGTTTGAGACAGCTCAGAGGTCCAAAAGGTCCTTCCCGGGGCATAGGGCGACATGCAGAGGGTTGGCGTTTTTCCCTGGTAGCAAGATTTTGGCATAGAGGTACAAGCTGAGAAGTAGCGTGAAGTACCCGAGCCCCTCATGCAGCCACATGACTCCGCCTGGATCGGGGGGCTCAGGAGGAGTATTAGGAGGAGACTTAACCAAGCGGAGCTTGGTGGGGCCCACCATCGGGGAGGCCCATTTACAGTCGGCGGGGGCCCATTTAAGGTTGTCGATGTGTACCCGTGGCTGGTGGCCCAGGAATTTAGCCGCAGTTGGGGTAGTGAGGATGACGGTGTGGGGTCCCGTCCACCGCGTTTGCAAGGGGCCGGGGCTGCGACTCCTGAGGAGAACCTGGTCACCTGGGAGCAGCTTCTGGGGAGGAATCTCATCGTCCTCGAGGTCGTTCGGGGCTAGGGGGACTGAGTCAGCATGAGCTCTCGGGAGGGCCTGAAGGAGAGTAAGGTACGGCAGGTAAGAGAGGAGGAGTGGGGGGACAGCCGGGAGATTGTGATCTATAAGGAAGGGACGACCGTAGAGGAGTTCGAATGGGCTCAATCCCGAGGGTCCACGGGGGGCCGCCCTAAGCCTGGTGAGGGCTAGGGGCGAGAGGGTAGGCCAAGAGAGATGGGTTTCCAGGGTAAGTTTGAGGAGTTGGGCTTTAAGTAGGCCGTTGGCCCTTTCTACTTTACCCGATGCCTGCGGATGGTAAGGGATGTGTAGTTTCCAGGAGATGCTGAGACTTTCAGCCACTTGCCGGGTTATGCTGGATAAGAAGGCGGGCCCGTTGTCCGACTGGAGGGTTCGAGGCAGCCCGGAACGGGGAATGATGTGTTTGTAAGGACGGTGGCCACGACGTCCGCCGTCTCACGGGCCGTGGGATAAGCTTCTATCCAACCTGTGAACGTGTCAACCGGGCTTAGTAGGTACCGATGGGTTTTATGACGGGGCATGTGGGTGAAGTCCAGCGGCCGGTCTTCTCCTGCCTGGTGGCCCCGCAATTGGTGGTTAGGTCCTGGCCTGCGGATTCCACCTTGTGCACTGACAGCTGAACAGACAGTACATGCCCCGTGGACGGTTTCAACGACCTTGGACAGGGAAGGGGGATAGAAGAGAGGCTGCAAGAACTGAAACCACGCCTTGGGGCCGATATGAAGCATCTGGTGAATTTCTGTGACCAAGGTGTGGGCCGGATTTTCAGGTATGGCAAGGCGGTTCTGGATGTGGATCCACCCTTTGTCCCCCAGCTTACCCCCAGCCTCTGGAGTGCTAGCGTCTCCTCCTTGGTGTAACAAGGTTGGTGTGTGGTGTTAAGAGTACAGGGGCAGGAGTGGTGCTAAGGGCCGTCTGCCTGACCACGTCAGCCTTGTTGCATCCTTTAGGTCGAGAACCGTGAAATGAGAGGTGCCGGGAGGGATGTGAGATAGCAAGGTATAGGGATTGGGAACGACGGGGTGGAGTGGGATGACGGCTTCATTGGGTCGTAGGTCCTGTGCTAGCCGGTAGGCCCCTGATGGCTTTCGCACAGGCAGGATAGGGGTATTGCAGGGGGAGTTGATAGGGACGAGAAGGCCCTGCTGCTTTAGGCGGTCTATTATAGGTTTGAGACCCCAACGATGGATTAGGGAGATGGGAAACAGCCCTAGAGGGGTATGTGGAGTTA